ATTTTAGAAGTTTGAGTCATGTAAAACAATTTATTAATTTTAAGTGGCCTAAAATAGTTTGCTGTTGTACGACGCGGTAAAGATAATTTTGTTATCATAGAAACACAAGAAATCTTTATAACATCTGAAACCATCACATGTGAAAATTCGAAGGAAGTGCAAGGGAAAATAGACCTACAGGGGATGGCATTGCTCTGTTTGACATTCGATGATCCTCGTCAGTGTATTTTTGTACAATTTCGTTCACCGTCTACCAAATTAACTGTGCGCCCTCAGTCCATTGTAAGCCATCGGCAGACGCACGGACTTCCATTTCTTTATTTATTTTAAGCACTATTTTCAATAGATCGTTATTGTCTCCTGTTATCCGACCCTACTGGATCGTCTTTTAATTATACATGGGAAGAGAAATGGAGCTCTATCGGTTTTCAAGGGTCTTTTGTACCTTTTCGGGACCCCAAACTTAACGTGCAGTTAAGTTGGCACTTGCTGAATAGACACGCCGTATTACTCTCAGTTTACACCTTTATAAAAGGATTTATACGGAAATCTTTGCAATTCAAGGCAATTTATTTTTAGAAAATGTAACTGATAGAATACCGATAAAATTTGTGTCATTGAACTATCCATCCATCCATCCAGTTAACTAAACCTTGTGTTCTGTAACTTAAATCAGTCACTATATCTTTGTTCCGAGACATAAAATACACCAAAAATTACACTAGAATATCCGCTGAAGTTGAATCAGTGACAGGAAGAAACTGAAGTGTATCTTTGCAAAGATTCAGCACCAGTCAAGTGGACAGCTCTCAGCAGCAAGCTTTGCTGTCACTTCCAAACTGCTTTGTGTGAGTAACGACTCTGTTTCTGTCTGCTCTGCTGCTTTAGGTGGTTTATCCTTATGGCTGGTGACCTGGTTGATCATTGGCAAGCCCAACGTGGCTCTGGGCTGTCCTCGCCTGTGCGTGTGCTACCCTTCACCCATGACTGTCAGCTGTCAGTCCCAGAACTTCACCACGGTGCCAGCTGGTGTTCCGTTTGACTCGCAACGCGTGTTCCTGCAGAACAACCAGATCACCGAGCTGCGTGTGGATTCCTTCGGCTTTGAGACACAGGTGTGCTGCTGTGTTTCGCCTTTAAGGAGCATTTTGCTTCCCGCTCTTAAGATATCTGCATGGTACTAGTGTTAGGATATGATTCCCATATTCCCGCATATGATTCCCATATTTTCCCTCTCCTGTTCCCTGCTGCCACTCACCTTCCATTTTCCTTTTCCCACTGCAACACTTGTAGGTTCTCTGGCTGTATTCCAACAACATTTCTTGGATCGAGCCTGGAGCCTTCAGTGAATTGAGAGAGTTAGAAGAGCTGGACCTGGGAGACAACCCGAATCTGCGGCAGCTGGATGGGGGCGTCTTTCGGGGGCTGGAGAAACTGCAGAGCCTGCACATGCATCGCTGCGGGCTGGCAATTCTCCCCCATGACCTCTTCCACAAGCTCTACAGCCTGCAGTTCCTCTACTTACAGGAGAACCAGATTCACTTCCTGCCGGACGACCTGTTCTCTGATCTGGTCAACCTCACCCACCTCTTCCTCCATGGCAACCGCATCCGCACGCTGTCCGAGAATGTCTTAAGAGGCCTGGTGAACCTGGATCGCTTGCTGCTGCACGAAAACCGGATCAAGCAGATCCACCGGAAGGCCTTCCGGGACCTTGGCCGGCTCACCATTCTCTACCTTTTCAACAATTCCATTTCAGAGCTCCCTGGGCAGGTGTTGAGGGACTCCGCCTCCATCCAGTTCCTGAGGCTCAACGGAAACCCCTGGTCGTGCGGCTGCGAGGCCCGTGCCCTCTGGGAGTGGTTCCGCAAATCTCGCGTGTCCACCTCCGAGCTGCTCTGCAGCTCACCTTCGCCTAAACGTGGGTCCGACCTCCGCTTTCTCCGAGAGATGGACTTTGCCCTGTGCCCCCTGCCTGACCCAGGCTCCCTGGCAGGGACCACCACCACCACCTTCAGCACCAAGACTCGCTGGTGGTTCTCCAAGTCCAAGCCTGTCTCCAGCTCCAAGGGCATTTTCAGCAAGAGCTCCGAATTGGTCAAGGCCTTCCCCTTCTCCTCAGGCAAGCCCCTCAACCCATCCACCTCCTCCACATCATTTTCCACAAAGTATGAGATCGGGGAAGAGGAGGCCGCTCTGCCAAAGCTGGATCCGGAGGAGTACTGGGCCAACTACGGAAATGAAGATGCCTCAGTGCGCTGCTTCGAGCTCGAATGTCCGCCCGGCTTCGACTCCCCCGTGTTGCCTTCCTCCTCCCCGTCCTCTTCCTCCTTCTTCCTCTCCCTGCTCTCCCTAGCCATCACCCTGCTCTTCTTTCAGTTCCTCTTTGGTTGATACCATCCCCCTCGATGCTCCCTTTCCCATTTTCGAGAACTTGTTTCTCGAAACCCTCTTTGCCTCTTCTCTCCACTTTCTTTGCAAACCTGTGTCTTGATTCTGCTCAGTTTGGCTCCTAGACCACTGGCGGTCTAACGGGCGCTACACTGATGGAAGGTACGACAGGGCAGCAGGGAGATTACCAACAGCCGCAGGCAGCTGCTTAGACCCGGCGAAGGAGAAGCTAGCGCTACCGGCCGGCATTGTAATAACGGTAATCGAACTTACTTAGAAGCACAACGGTAATGTCGTTAGCTACTAAGCACACTAACACATTTCAACTGTCATGACTACAGCAAATTCCTTTTATGCCTGCTGCTGTTACTGTGACTATTAAAACTACTGTAGTAACATGGCTATTACACCTATGTTATTACACAGCTGTAAGACCTGGTTATATAATTTCAAGCAATGCATTGAAATTTAGGTTATTACAAGCCCCCAACACTGTGGGCATTGATAGTTTTATACAAACTACTTTCTTACTGCTAATATTGACATCTGAGCTCGATGAGCAGCACTTCTCATAGAAGACAGAATCTTATACGATGAGCACCACTTGCTCTATTATCCTCATAATAGGCTCTCATTATAATTAATCGCACACCTCTTGTAAACAGTAAATCAGTAAATGCATGTCTGCTACCATTCAGAAGATTTCTAATATATATAATAATTGGAAATCTGGCAAAAATCCAGGACCTGACATGACGATATAGCCATCAAAACTGCAAATCTGAAATATGCCTAGTTCTGAAAAACGAATACAAATCAACACTGAATTAGATTTCTAAGAAAAGCAAGTCAAGAGGAAAAAAATTACTACGGTAATTATCACGGCAATTAGTTAAAAGATGAGTCTTCGCTTGGAGAAAGGCATGAGGAGAAGAGGAAGGGGAGCGAGATCGTGGCACGGTGACAGGCCAAGGGAGAGTAGGAAGGAGGCGGAGCCAAAGGAAGAGGAACAGGAAGTGCAGAGTAACCCCAAGCTAGTTGAGATGAGTTCTTTCCAGATCTGATTGTTTTGCTACTCACCAGCACTGATATTTTACAATTCATACCATGTAAATACTTTAATATTTTCCTTTGTATATAGCAACACTGTGGATCATAACATATGTAGTTATTCTTAGTAGTGGCTGTTGCCATGGTTATTAACGTATTTTATGTTAAATGTTAGGAGAGATACAATGGGCCAGTTAAGTTACTGGATTGAGGAAGAAAAGGCACGTTTAATCGCCCTTGGATTAAACTTTTTTTTTTTTTAAGTTGAACTAATTCAGACAAGGTTTATTTTCTTTCACGGTATTCACTGTGAGAATTTCAGATACCTTCCAAACTCAGCATAAACTGAAGCACAGAAATCGGCAGCTGATTGAAGGAAAAATGCTTGCAAAACCTCCGCAGAAACACTTTTAGAAAACTGGTTTAATTATTCGCCAGTTAACATTTCCAAAATATGGACTAGCGAAAAGCCACATTTGAGTTTGGTGTATCACCACAACTGTGAAAAAAATGCATATGAAGGTAAACCACTTGATTGGACAGCTACCCACTGTTATTTGACGAGCCATCTGGACTGTCGAATGGACTGACCGCAAACAAATCTCGACTCAGACGGCCCGGGGCTGGGATTCCGGCGCTGCCGACTGACGGATGAGCTCGCTGACGTGCCAGCTGTACTGCGACGCTCCACGGTCTCCTGCCAAAGAGTCTGAAAGCTCTAGATGGCGCGATTCCTCTGTAACACGCCGAGACTCACCAGGACGGCGGTGGACCAGAGGTGGGGCGATTAATGGGTGGCGCTGTGTGAAGCAGTCGCTCCGCTCCTAGCCCCTCACGTTCGCTAGCCGGCTCAGCGGCTCGCGGGTTGCGTCAGGGCTGGTGGGAGTCGGAGTGGGAGTGCTGACGCAATCTGTACCCCCCACCCCCACCGTTTTGTCACATGATTTCCAGCTGGACAGCTCTCTGTTAGAGGATCACTGTAAACACCGGGAGCACAGGGGCACAGAAGCTAAATCCAGATCAGTCGGCCTAATTTACTGTTTTCCCTTCTTTTCAATAGACTGACTGATTAATGCCTTCACCTTTCATGCTGAAATCTGAGTGCAGTCCTTCCTATACTGTTATGATATGGAAATCACATTCCTGTTAAACACTGGCTGTAGGCATTCAGGATAAAATATGTTTTATTTCCCATTAATGAATGTACCCAGAAAGTGAGAAGTTAAGGTGTGGGTCCAGTGGGTCGTTTTGTCTGCTCTCTTGGAAGAGTTCTGTTGTAATGCATATCGGTTGAGTCAGAACTAAATTGCATACGGGTGACGCTGGTGAGATCAATACAGCCCATTCTGGTATTCATACTGAACCTCGAGTGGCCTTCTTCGTGGGGGGCTCAGCACCAGGTGAGGAGTGCACCAGCCCCACCGCCGTTTCTGTGCGCACCTGTGAGTGTCAAGACTGCGTGGCAGTTTGTGACACTCTGCGCAAGAGGACGGACGTCTGTTTTTTTTTTTTCTCTACTGTTGCCTTGAATGTAACTGTTGGTGTGGTGAACTTGGTCTTTGCTATGGATTTTAAAATAAAAAAGCAGAAATCCCTAAATGTCATGTGATACCCTTTTGTACCTCAGACCATAACAATGTGAATAAATATTGGTTTGGTTTTACAAAAGTGACTTGCATGGGCACTAATTTTTAATCGATGAATCTCGTTCAGAAACCCCCATCCAAAAAAGGACAAGCAAAAATAAAAAATGGCCACCATTTCCTGTCATGTAACATCTTACATCAAAGATGCGTCACAAATCACACACTATGATGACATATCATTAGCATTTGCATTTTGTCATGTGATCCACATTGCATGACAAATATAAACAGCCTCGTATTTGTCTTGCATATACACATATCTTACTGACCTTACTGAGATTCATTTAGATCCCTCATCTCAAGGGGTAAGTACATACAATTCAGGTAATTAATAACACTGTGATAAGGTGTCTCTGTGTAGACTCCAAGTACAGAAATACGAATGGATAAATGTATCAGTCATCAAATGTATCAGTCATATACATATATTGCAGTTTATGGTGAGTGGACTGTAGGGTTTGTGGTTTATGGTGAGTGGTCTGTATGGTTTATGGTGAGTGGTCTGTATTGTTTGTGATTTATGGTGAGTGGACTGTATGGTTTGTGGTTTATGGTGAGTGGTCTGTATGGTTTATGGTGAGTGGTCTGTATGACTTTTACAGTTTCTTGTTCATTTTTATTGTGTACTTGTGGAGTAATGACAGTTTTCCTTCACAATAACAGGGAGTAACTTGATGGTGGTTCAGTGGTTCATCGCTGGATTTTCACACCACCAGGGTTCAGTTCTCTCCCATGGCCTCATGTGTGTGGAGTTGGTACGTTCTGCATGTGTTTGTGCTGATATCCACCCACTGTTAGCTGTATCCTGGGTGCCCTGTGATGGACTGGCATCCCATCCGGGGTGTACCCCAGCCCCGTGCCCTGTGATGGACTGGCATCCCGTCCAGGGTGTACCCCAGCCCCGTGCCCTGTGATGGACTGGCATCCCGTCCAGGGTGTACCCCATCCCCTGATAATAGTTGTACAATATATTAGATACTTGGTTATTTTTTTATTATTTATTAATTAGTCTTTGATTTTGCATAACACTGAACTCATAAGCACTTGGTACATACAACAGCATAGGATAGAGTTTGAAATGGGGGAGGGGGGGGCACACACCATTAAAAGGCAAAGGTCTATTTATAGTGAATGATAATGAATGAATCCTAATTAAATATTGGGACAGGGCTGCCAACTCTCACGCATCTGGAGTGACACTCGCGCTTTCAGACTCTCACGATCATGGAAGGAATCTTACGGCAAATTTATATTATTCAATTATAAACCTAAACTTAGCGGGATCAAAAGCGTTGGGGTAGTTTGCAAAGCTTAAAGACTATTTACAAGTTAATAAAACTGTAACATACATTTAAATGAGTGTGCAAACTTGTCTCAAATTGAAAATCTCACGCCAGTCATCTGGCCAAAGTTGGTGGCACTGTATGGGGAGGAACACAGCTCCTGGGTCCTGCATCACTGGACAAACAGACGGACGGACAGATGATAGATAGATAGATAGATAGATAGATAGATAGATAGATAGATAAATAGATAGATAGATAGATAGATAGATAGATGCTTATTAACCATAAAACATGTTCATTCATGAATTTTGTCAATATTCCTACTTACCCCATTGACCTACATAATAAATAAACAGCAGTTTATTTGGAAAGCACTTTTTCTACAGTGCAAATCACATTTTTGTCCCCAGTCTGAAAAGCAACAAGTTCTGGTCCTCTGGGGAGCTTTTCATAGATATTTTTCAGATTAGAAAATAAGCACATGAATCTGAGAACCCCATGTCAAGGAATTTTGGTATTTATGGAGAAAATCAATATCCTATTCGCTCGTGTAATATGTGGAAATTAAATTTGAATATCTAACTAATAACTGCATAATGAAGAGTATCAGAGG